TTCTACCGCCCCCTTTGGAATGCCAGTTCTGTGACAGCGGGGGTTTGTGTCTGTCATGTTCACTGCTTGGCCCCAGTGCTCAGAACAGTGGTGAGGACACAGCAGGTGCTCAATAAATCCACTTTGGCTGCTTCTTCCCTTTCCTCTGTCTCTCCACGAGATGCTGGGAAACCGCGGGGGGGGGGGGGCGGTGGCTGGATGCTATTCTCAGACCTCATTGGCCAATTGCACTATCTGGGACACAAAGGAGTCACCAAGGGCTGGAAAAACTGGTCTGGGGGAGCTGAGGAGGGCTCTAGGCCTCCTGGTGGGAAAGGAACTTGAGAAAGTTCTAGGGGAGCTGTTGGCACAGGACCCCCACTCCTAAAAACCACCCCCCCCCAAGCTACTCCCAGGTCCAGCCCAGCCAAGGTACCCAGATCTCCTGAGGCAGGGCAGCCTTGAGCCTGCTGTGCCTCCTTTCGAGTTGTATCGTATGGAGAAACATGGGGGTGGGGGGCCAAGGACAACGCTTGTGGGGTGCTCTCCCCTCACCTGCCCCAGAAGGACTTTGCTAATTCCTTGGATAGATGGAAGGGGCGTGGCGGTACAAATGTATATTTATGTGTGTCTGTGTGCACGTGTGTGTGATGTATGTGATCTCCTCTCCCCACCGTGCTTCCCCAGAATGGATGCTACTGTCGTCTCATGTCTGTGTTGAAGCTGCCAAAGAGGGGTCCGGCCCCTGCACAGACCCCTTTGTAATTACTGGCTCATCTCCCCGCTTGAGAGCTGGGGTACAGCTCGCCTCGGGGAAGGAAACCTCATGCCTCAAAGCCATTTCTTGTGAATGCAAAGGCTGGGGGAGGGGGCCTTGGGGGGCAAGGAGCCAGTTGGGGGCTTGTCTCCCCCCATACAGCTCCCCAGATGCCCCCCGTGCCTGAGACCCGGGCCTAGGCCAATAAACGGTTCAATCCCTTGTTTTGGTGGTTGTTGTCTTTAGGAGGCTTAAGGTGCCCCAGCCGTTGCCCTAACTAGCACCCGGTGGCTGGAGGGTGGATGGGATGGGGAGGGTGGACGGGATGGGGAGGGTGGCTTCTGCCCAGGCCACTCATCCTTTGCCAGCCTTCCTATTCTGTGCCCAACTCCGAGCCCTGCCCAAGCCAGGATTGCAGTGGCTTCTGAGAAAACAGGGTAAATGCTGACCTTTCCCCTAGGGCATCTGTCTGGCCCTTCCCAGTGATTAATTAGACTCCAGGCCTCCCTGCTTCCCTTCAAAGAGAGCTTGGCGGTGTGGGGAGGTCCCCTACTTCACCTCATCTCACGTACGTGTTCCTCCCTGGGAGATGGTCTTGGGGGACATGGGCCCAGATAACCCTCCAGGGCTCAGTCTTCCCCAAAGCAATGGGTAACTTCCATCAAGCACTTCCCAAGACAGGAATCCTCAGAAGGTGGAAGTTCCTATGAACTATGGTGGAGATGTGGGTTCAGAGAAGGTAAGTGAGCCGCTCGGGGTCACACAGCTAGTTGGGGCAAGCGCCTTCTGCATATGAACTCAGGCAGGAACAATTTACAACCCGGTACAAGGGATTTCAACATTTCACTGGGCTGCCTCTGGGTCCCGCCCGCTCCACCACTGGGCCAGAGAGAGTATCCTCCACCCCCTCTTTGCCATGGAAAGAGTGGGGAATGTGAGCTGCCAGACCCCACCCAGAGCCAGGAGAAACCCAGATGGGACACAGCTTTGGGGGGGGGGTGTTCCTAGCTCAGCTCCAGGCTGACACTCCCTTCTGCCCAGAGGCACAGGGCCCAGTGGCTCCTTTGAAGATAGATTTGGAGCTTTGATGGGGAACCCAGTCCCCTAAGCTAGAGCCCCACCCAGCACACCAACGCAAACCCTAGAGCCAGTGTGAGAAGGAGTGGGGCAGACAGCCGCCAGAGGCTGAGAGGTCTGCACTCCCCATCAGAGTCCCCCTCCTTTAGCAGTTCACAGACAGCCTCTGTTTGGAAACCTGAGCCCCAGCTGAGTGAAAGGAGCAGAAGAGGTATCCGCCAGGCCAGAGTCAATAGATTTGCCCCAGATACACACCTGCTTTCTCTACCGCCTCCTTCTGGGCCTCTGCTCAGTGATCACCTCCTCAGAGGGGCCTGCCCTGACCATCTTCTACTAAGTCCCTCTCCTGCTTATCACCTGGGAGGATATTATAGATCCGTTTATCTGTCTCCTCCGCTCCACTAAACTGTGAGCACCTTCAAGATAGGATGGCATCTGTCTTACCACTGTGCCTCTAGCATCTTAAATAGTACTTGGCATGTTCCCACCGCAGGGCCTTTGCACCTGCTGTTCCCTCTGCCTGGACCCATCTTCCCCCACATACGCCTGTGCCTTTTCTCTGCTCCTTCTGGCCTGCAAAAAAATATCACCCCGGGTGAGGCCTCTGGCCATGCGTACATTTCCGGTCCTATCTGCTTACCTTGCTACTCTCTTATATGCAACAGATTTTGCTTTTTTTATCCTGATTATTTTCTACCGCCCCCTTTGGAATGCCAGTTCTGTGACAGCGGGGGTTTGTGTCTGTCATGTTCACTGCTTGGCCCCAGTGCTCAGAACAGTGGTGAGGACACAGCAGGTGCTCAATAAATGTTTGTCAAATGAATAAAAGCAAAAGCGCATGCTGGTCTTTTCAGTGAGAAGTTTATTTCCTATGAAGAAAATAAAATAGAGAAAGCAACAGTTCGGGGTACTCTGTAGACTCTATTATTGGCACTCTGACAGGTTAAAAAAAAACAAAAAACACAAAAACTGAAGCACCAGAGAGGTTAAGTAATCTGATCAAGTTCCCATGGCATGTGAGGGGAGGGGCAGGGATTTGAACCCCGGCAGTTGTTGGTTGAAAACTGTGGTCACATCTGATCCTCCTCAGTATCCTGGCCTGAGGATCTAATTTGCTGACATCTCTCAAATCTTGAAGACTAGAACAGAACAGACCAACCCACAGAGATGCAAGATGACTTTCCCTACGTAGGCTGTTGGCCATTAGGGAGCATCAGAATCACCTGGAATAGGGGCGCCTGGGTGGCTCATTTAGCGTCTGCCTTCGGCTCAGGTCATGATCCCAGGGTCCTGGGATCGAGCCCTGCATCAGGCTCCCTGCTCGGCGGGAAGCCTGCTTCTCCCTCTCCCGCTCCCCCTGCTTGTGTTCCCTCTCTCACTGTGTCTCTCTCTGTCAAGTAAATAAATAAAATCTTAAAAAAAAAAGAATCACCTGGAATAATCTGATAAAATGCAGATCCTTAAGCTTCTAGCAAATGAAATGTGGCTAGTGTGATGCAGGAGCTGAATTTTAATCTTAATTAATTAAAAGTACATAGCCACGTGTGGCCGTTGGCTAGAGTACTGACAGCACAATTCTAGATTCCGGATCTGGTTCCCACAGCCTCTGAGCAACTGAACCCCCTTGGCATTATGCCATCACTTCAACACAAATTCGTAAGTGTTACCACCATTATTATTATTATTATGAATGACATTGTAGCTTCTGCTTATTATTTCATGATTTTTGGAATATTTCTTTTAATTATGACATCAAGATTAGGCTCAGTTGCAGATGCCAGAAAACACAGAATATTAGTAACTTAAATTAAGAGAGGGAAATTGATTTTCTCTCATATAAAAGGGTTTCAGAGCAAATTGGTCCTGGATAAGGACAGATGCCCAGTTGCCAGTGGTCCAGGCTCCTATCCTATGTACCTTGATCTTCTCCCTCTCCCTCCCACTCCCTTCCTCTTCATCCCTGTCACTCTCCAACCATCCATCCATGCATCCATCCACCACCCATCTACCTACCTAAATACTTCACTGTGTTTCCTAAGAACAAGGCATTCTCTTCTATAACCTTAGTAAAATTATCAAAATCAGGAATCTATAAACTTTCATCAGATTTCACCAATTGTCCTATTACCGACCTTTAGAACAGAAGAAAATCCCAGATCACCTGTGGCAGTCAGTTGGCCTTTTAGTTTCCTTCAATCGGAACAGTTTCTGAACCTTTCTTTGTCTTTTGTGACCTTGACATTTTTGAAAAATATAAGTCAGTAATTTGGCAAAATGTCCTTCAAGTTGGGTTTGTCTCATGTTTCCTCATGATTAGATACAGGTTATGCATTTTTGGCAGATATACCACAGAAGTAATGTGTTTTTCTCAGTTAGACCCATCACTGGCAATGTTAACTTTTTTTTTAAGATTTTATTTATTCATTTGACAGAGATAGACACAGCGAGAGAGGGAACACAAGCAGGGGGAATGGGAGAGGGAGAAGCAGGCTTCCCCCGGAGCAGGGAGCCCGATGCGGGGCTCGATCCCAGGACCCTGGGATCATGACTGGAGCCAAAGGCAACCGCGTAATGACTGAGCCACCCAGGCGCCCCTGGCAATGTTAACTTTGATCACTTGGTGGCATTTACCAAATTTCTCCACTCGAAAGTTACCATTTCCTCCTTCATAATTAGTAAGTATCTTGTGGGGAGGTACTCTGAGACTCTGTAAATATCCTGTTGCTTATCAAATTTTCGATCATTTAGCATCTATTTTTGTCTGAACCAATTATTACTCACCAAATTTTTTTAAAGAAAATCAGAGAATATCACATCATTTTCTTCCACTTTTTATTTTTAGAAGAAAGCGACACTTTCTTTAACCACAATACCATGATCATGCTTATCAAAAGTAT